GTGCAGACCGGGGCGGGGATGGAGCCTCAGGGCTGGGGGCCACCCCTGTTGCAGGTGAACTTGCCAGGGCCGACGGGTGTCCCACCAGGAGGGTGGAAATGCGGGTCTCATCCTGGGTGGGGGACGGGGGGGTCTGTGTGTCCCCTCGGAGCCTTCCGCAGCTCTGCCGAAAGCGCTGGGTGTCAGTACCGCTGCGACCTGCGCTGGGGGAGACCCTGGAGGTCAAAGCCAGAGCACTGCACCCTGCCCTTTCCCTTGCAGCCCTTTCCCCAGCCCAGCGAGGCCCACGCTGATCGGACTTCAGCAGCTTGGCGCAAGCAAAGTAAGTGGGATTGCTTAATAACCTGCTCACAGCCCTTTGCTGGCCTTGTAGGGTTAATGGGTAAAAAAAGATGCATTGTTTTCAGCCAAGGCAGAAGCTGGGCGCTCATGCCTGCCGGGGAGCTTGTGCTCTGCATTATAATGCCGGCAGCAGTCTCAGCGACAGAGGGCTGCTGCCAGGCCCGGCCATCACGCCTGCTATGGAGTCAGGCTGAGGCAGAGCTGCTGCCTCTCAGGGCCCAGCTCCACAAGCCGTGCTTGCTTCAGTTAGGGTTTGGGGTAGGACTCCGACCTGCCGGGGGTTTGCCCTCATGGTGGTGTGCAAGGGAAAGCAGATGAGGGGTTTAAGCATGCTGGGGAGGGAACACAGTGCACCTTAAAACTGAGGTCTGAGCATTTCACTGCTCTTGAAGTTAAACAGCAGTTTTAATAAGATACCCTTGTGTCCATGAGGGCATTTCCTAGAAGCCCTAAGACTCACAGATATACAGGAACGAGAGGGGAAGGCATTGCTCGTGTCGCTGATCCAGTTTGATCCACGCGTGGGTTCACCACGTCCTCAAGCATCTGGCCAGGGGCTGCAGAGCTGGGTGGGGGGAGCCCAGGCAGGGCGGTGGTGGGAGAGTATCAGAAATGATCAAAGCACTATAATTAATGAACTGGTCTTAAATCAGTGGGGGAACCCTGACAGTTGGTGTTTCCCTCGCCCAGCAGGTCCCAGCCCATGGCTGGTCCCTCTGTGTTCCCAGAGAAGACGTGGGATGGGAGCAGGCAGGGCGCAGGGATGCAGCGTGGAGGCCCCCAGCTCCACTGCTGTCCCAGCCCATCCCACAAACTCCCCTCTCCGCTGGCAGGTGACCTTGGACCCAGCAGGAGGATGGCAAACTCAACACAGGGCAGCGGGGGCCTCCCAAGCGCGGAGCTCTGGGCCTGCCATAACAGGATGGTAATGGAGCCGCTCGACACCAATGACCCGGAGGTGAGAGCCCCTTCCTGGCCCCTGCCCAGCAGCTGTTTCATTCATCCCCTGGACAGCCACAGGGACGCTGACCTCCTTGAGCCAGGGATGTGTCAGGGAAATGGTCCAAGGTTGAGCTGGTGGGACCCATCCACCCTCTGTGCCCCCTCTGCCTGCAGTGAGAGGTGGAGGGAGGGCATCCTCCATCCTCCAACCATCTGCAGATAACATGGTCATAACTTTGCATCTATGGCTCCTACACTCTGCTTGAAGCTCTAGTGTCCACACCACAGCAAGCTGGCCCAACCAGGCCATGCGGCAGTTGCCCTTGACTCTTTAGCCCAAATGACAGCTGAATTATCTGGCAGCTTCCTGGCAGGCAGAAACCCAAAATATGGCCTGTGACCAGACATATGAACAGTTTGGGATCAGCTGTACCAAGAAGGGATCATGTCTCCCCTCTCCATCACCTTTCCAGGCCCCTGTCCATCACCCTGTCCCCTCCGAGGGTGCATCCCCTACTACAGAGCATCCATGTCTCCATGCAGAGCAGGCACAGGTAAAGCTCTTGTTCTCCCCTCCCAAAGGTGTACAGAATCATCAAGAAGGAGAAGCAGCGGCAGAGGCTGGGGCTGGAGTTAATCGCTTCGGAGAACTTTGCGAGCCGAGCGGTCCTGGAGGCCCTGGGATCCTGCCTGAACAACAAATACTCTGAGGGCTACCCAGGACAGAGGTACAGGGCTGGGGCAGGGTTCCACCCAACCCAAACCCTCATGGGGAGGGGAGAAGAACCATCCCCGCTGCCAGACCTCACCTCTGGAGAGGAAGCCATGTCCTGGCGCTGGCAGCCAAGCTCCTCCAGGGCAGGGTCTGACCCTCTCAGTTCCTGTCCTTGGCCACGCATGGGACAATCTCAGCAGGGTCACATCTGCTGCAGCTGCTGGCCCAGTGGCTGCCTCAACCATGGCATCACCAAGTTCTCCACAGCACTGTCACAGGGCTTGGTTTAACCCCTGCCCCATCCTTTACCGGCAGGTACTATGGTGGGACGGAGTTCGTAGACGAGCTGGAAAGGCTGTGCCAGAAGCGAGCCCTGGAGGCGTACCGGCTTGACCCCCAGAAGTGGGGTGTCAACGTCCAGCCCTACTCAGGTAATGGGGCATTCAGGAGAGTCAGGCCGGCTGCACCGGCCTCCACACACCCCGGCACCCGTAACTGAGCCGGCGTGTGCTCACTGCAGGATCACCCGCGAACTTTGCGGTGTACACGGCCCTGGTGGAGCCCCACGGCAGGATCATGGGGCTGGACCTGCCCGATGGGGGCCACCTCACCCACGGGTTCATGACGGACAAGAAGAAGATCTCTGCTACCTCTGTCTTCTTCGAGTCCATGCCCTACAAGGTACAGAGATGCGGAGCCAGGATGCGGTCGTCATAAGTGTTAGTGCCTCTTAAAGCTAAAAGTACTGGTGCCAGGCTCCAGGCAGCTGCAGGATGGTGCTGTGGCTGATCTTCAACCCATGCCAAGGTGGCTGAACCCTCCTCTTCCTCTCCCAGGTCAACCCCAAGACTGGCTACATTGACTACGACCAGCTGGAGGAGAACGCCCGCCTCTTCCACCCCAAGCTGATCATAGCAGGTAAGGATCACACCCTTACTGACCTCCCTGGGGGCGGGTGGCTCCACAAAGCCAGCAGCACCCTGGTAAGCCTGGGGATGCTGCAGCGCTAGGAGGAGACCTCTGACACATCCACGCTGGCAGGAGCTTGTGCGCTGTCCCCAGCTGGGCTGTCCCCAGCATCACAGGGCTGGAGGCAGGGCTGTCCTCGAGCATCTGCTCCCATCCCCTCCACGTCCCGTCTCCCTGCAGGTGTCAGCTGCTACTCGCGCAACCTGGACTACGCCCGCATGCGGAAGATCGCCGACGCCAACGGTGCCTACCTCATGGCTGACATGGCCCACATCAGCGGGCTGGTGGCTGCTGGTGTGGTGCCCTCCCCCTTCGACCACTGCGACGTCGTCTCCACCACCACCCACAAGACCTTGCGGGGCTGCAGGGCCGGCATGATCTTCTACCGCAAAGGTGCCTGACCTGGCCAGGGAGCCAGGAAAAATGATCCCCCCCAGGCTGGGGGGGGCGGCAAGTTAAAGCTCCTTCCTGCTGTAGCTGGGGTGGAAGAGGTGGAAGGAGGGCAGGAGGGTCTGGGGCTTCCTGGGAGCATCCGGGGAGCTTCCCGGGGCCAACCATGGCCCAGATTTGAAGAGGAACAACCACTATCCCTGCTCTGAGAGGCAGCTCTTGGGAGAAGGGCAGCCATGCTGCCTGGTGAGCGACCCTGCCCTCCCCTCCTGCAGGCACCCGCAGCGTGGACCCCAAGACAGGCAAGGAAACACTCTACAACCTGGAGAGCCTCATCAACCAGGCGGTCTTCCCCGGGCTGCAGGGAGGCCCACACAACCACGCCATCGCAGGTATGCATCCGGGCTGGCTGTGAGCTCCAGGATGGCAATGGGAGCTGGCAAAGATGTCCTGGCCAGGCCCTGACCCCAGCAGCAGTGTCGGGGGCTCCACCTGCCCTGAGGGGCTCACAGCCTGGAGAGACCACAGCAAGGAGCCACTGGCTGGATCCAGCATGGCCCAAGGAATGACCAGGCTCGTCCCATCCTGCCTTTTGGCACATGGCAACGCCACCAGCCTGGTTAGGGGAAGGGACTCTCCATCAGTTTGCTCAGCTTCCATGATGACTTCCGCTCTCCCAGTGGGAACCCCCCAAAACTCCCCCTGGTCTACCTTCCTCCCCAGGGATCGCCGTGGCGCTGCAGCAGGCCATGACGCCCGAGTTCAAGGCCTACCAGCAGCAGGTGGTTGCAAACTGCAAGGCTCTCTCGGCGGCGCTGATGGAGCTGGGCTACGACATCGTCACGGGTGAGGACAGGTCTCAGCGGTGGGATGGGGCTGACCTCTGTGCATGGCCCTTCCCAAGGCAGCCACTCTTCTGCCCCCAAAAGCAGGGGCAGGTTCTGGTGCAATTTCAAGCTTTTTTCGCTGGTCTCCTGCGGGAGCAACATTTACCCCAATCCTACGTCCCCCACCAACCCCTCTCTCTGCAGGGGGCTCCGACAACCACCTCATTCTGCTGGACCTGCGCAGCAGAGGCACGGACGGCGGCCGGGCTGAGCGGGTGCTGGAGATCTGCTCCATCGCTTGCAACAAGAACACGTGCCCTGGTGAGGGATCCCACAAACTCTGCCGTGTCCTGCCCTGCACACCAGGGATCTCCCGTGGCCCCTGCAGAGCTTCCTGCAGAGCTCCCAGCTCCTGGTCCACCACCAGGAATGATGCCGAGTTGCCGTACATGGCAGTTTTGGTACCCGGTTTGGTCATGCATGACTTGTTCTGGTGCAGGTGACGTCAGCGCCCTGCGTCCCAGCGGCCTGCGGTTCGGGACGCCGGCTCTCACCTCCCGCAGCTTCCGGCAGGATGACTTCCGCATGGTGGCCCAGTACATCCACAGAGGTGAGGCCGGGGCCAGGCTCGCAGGCTGGGGGGCCCGGGGCCAGGGCAGCTCCTCCAGGCGAGGAGGCGCAGGCACAAGTGCGGAGTCACTGTCCCACCTGCACATCTGGGGGTGGGAGAGGACATCTGGCCACAGCTGGAACCCGCCAGACCCTCCCCACCGCACAGGCAGCGGGCTGAAAGGGGGCACGCAGGGCTAAGCCCACCGCCCAGCTCCCCCCAGCAGGGCCGGGCAGGGTGCGGGACGTGTTGCAGCCGCAGGGGTCTGACGGATGCGTCTCCCATCCTGGCAGGGATCGAGCTGACGCTGCGTGTGCAGAAGGACATGAGCCCCAAAGCCACGCTGAAGGAATTCAAGGAGAAACTGGAGGAGGAGAAATACCGGGGGGAGCTGAAGGCACTGAAGGAAGAGGTGGAGGCCTTCGCGGCGACCTTCCCGCTCCCGGGTCTGCCTGTCCTGTAAGGGGAGGCACCTGTGCCTGCTCCCGGAGCCATGGAAGCACCCGGGTTCACAGCACACTTGCACCCCAGCCCAAGACCACCACCCCAGTGCCTTCTCCCAGCACCTCCCTGCTGGCACTGACTGCAGTGCAGCAGCAGCTCCTTGGTGGGCTCTTGCCCCCCTCTCCCCTCCCAATTGGGGCACAAGACCCACCCTGAGCTTGTCCCCTGCCATGGGGAAGCCAGCCCTGTCACCACCCAGCATTAGGATTGGGACCAAGCACCAGGTAACCCTCAGCCTCACAGCTAGGCCCGGGTTTGATCCAGGTTTAAGCAGGGCTGCCCAGGTTCACCCAGACACCCCTGCCCACCCCACTGTGCTCAGCCGCACAAGAGACTTCACAGCCGCTAAAACCCTCCCTGCTTTCTGCCTCGAGGATTCCCCTCGGCGCACACAAGCCCCCTCTCCTTTTGTGCCTTCCAGCCTCCGCAGCCTTTGGCAAGGCCGAGCCTTGCCCCAAACCCACCAAGACCAGCCCTGCCGGGACCACCGTCCCATCCTAGCCAGCATCTCTGGTATTTTCTCAGATCTCTGAGCACAAAGCTTAGGTAGAACCATTTTTTAATAAGCACGGTAAAATTAAGAATTTAACCACAATGTATGACAAGAATTATAAGCTTTAAAAAATACAACCAATTTTTTTTTTTTTTTTTGTATTTCAAAAATATCTGAACCCAAATAAATAATTTTTTTTTTTTTTTTAAAAGTACATTTCTCAGACTAGTCATTTGGTGTTAACATCTGTTAAACTCTTGTGCAGTAACACTTACAGCACGACACTAAGACATGCTTCGTGGATTTCTCCCGGTCACACTCGCTCTAACTACCGACGCAAGCATTCGGCACGCACAGGCACACGCACACGTAACTCAACATGCAGTAATAGGATACAGTGCTTTAAAATAAGATGAGAATCCATCGCAGCCTCCTCGGAGGCGGCTCCTGGCCCAGCCCCATCCCCATGCCGGCAGCGAGGCGGCCGGCAGGACCGGGTACCCTGTGTTTCTGCCTTCCAGTTAAAATGCGTCTCGGGGAGGGGCGTGCGGTGGGTTTGTGAGCCCTGCAGTATCGGGGTACACTCTTGCTCTGCCCTTGTGCTAACCAGGGCCCGGGCACTCGCTGAATTCCCCGTCGCACCTTCCTACGGGAGCCTTTGCAAAGCGCTGCTGCAAGCCCTGGGTCCTGCCCAGCCCTCCCAGACGCTGAATCCGCAGGGCAGGCTGTCACCCACTGCCAGCCTGGGGGCTCAGGGCCCCCCACCACGCTCCATGGAAACCAAAGAGCTGGCCTGGGGGCATGGAGCCGTCGGCTCCCACCCCTCAAGCGCCTCTCCCACCCCTTACAAAATGGTGAATATTGCTAGAGTATAGGCAGTACTTCCCTCGTCAAGGCAAGGCAGCTTTTGGAACTGCTTAGAAGTGATTGCTACTGGATGAAAGGAAATCCGAGCACTATTCTCTGAGAAATGAAACCTGTGTAGGGTTAATATTGCCTACTCCTATGGCTGGCCCTCCTTGGGGTGGGATCCAAAAGCGGTGGGGCTAGTGTAGTGTAGAGCAGGAGCTGGCAGTCCATCTCCCAGAGAAGGAAAGTGGAGGAGTAAGAAAAGGGAGCCCTGCCCTCCCGGCCAGGCAGCAGGCGGCCAGGGGAGACCTTTGCTCTGACGAATTCTCCGTCACGTTTAAAGCCTCCTCTCCCCGGCAGCCAGCAGAGAGAGTGGAGGGAGCCGGAGCGGGCCGTGTGGGAGGCGGGGGCATGCTGGCAGCACTCACGGAAGCAGGCGATGGCCATGCACAGCACCGCTGGCTCTGGCGGCTGGCGAGTGTCGCACCGTGGCTGCGAGGAACCTGCCCTGCTCGTGGTGGAAGGATGGCTGGACGGCAGCGCGCGGCGCTCGGATGGGGCGGTGCGAGCCGACGAACACACGTGCCAAGCTTCGTCGCGGGAGCTGTTAGTGCGGAGATCGTAACTTGTTATAAGTCTGCTAAAATCAGAAATTAGTGAGGTAACACAGTGAGGATGAGGAAAAAGTCTTAAAGTGCCGAAATAGGGATCTGTACTGTACAGGAGCAAAAGGTCAGACAGAGAAATTACTGAGCAGAGAGGAATCCAGCTCCTGAACCACCAGCTGCACTCGGGCTCCCCTGATTTCTGCCGCTGTTACGGGCACCACAGGCAGGGAGGGCAGGCCGGGCTCCGGCTGCGCCGCGGTGCCACAGCCCGATGTTGCTCCCCCCCGTTCCCTGCATTCTGAGCTCAGGGGTTACCCTGCCGCGAGCCAGCTTTGGGAGGACAAGCGCTCCCAGGCGCATTTCCCCGCAGCTCCTGCTTAACAGCCGAGATGCAGATAGCACAAGAGCTCGCGTTTCGAAACAGGCGATGTCCCAGCAAAGCCCCCGGGCCATCCTCCCGGATCAGAGCAGCTTTGTGGCAGAGAGATGAAGCGGGTCAGGCGGGCGGTAGTGCAAGTATCGCTCAACACAGCCTTGAGCATCAGATACGACCGGTTTGATAGAGGGAGCAACTAGACACAAGTTATTTTTCAGTTTACGAGTGCAGCTGAACGCCACAGGTAGAGACCAAGACTAAAATCAGCCAACGCTGCCCATCGATCCCGCTCTGCTGCTCTGCGCTGTCAGCCTGGAGGAAGACGTGTGTGAGTCAACAGGAAAAAAGTTCGTCCCTCCCTCCTCAAACCCAAATAGCATCGGGTCCTTTTCCAGCAGGAAACAAGCTCCCGTGCTGAGCATTTCTCCAGAGCTGCGGGTCAGGCAGGACCAGGGAGCTTTTGTTTGCCCGGTATCACCTGTGTTACTCATTTACTGAGGTGCCTCTTCCCCTGGGGAACCCTGCCTCAGCTTTAGTGTGGAAGCTGTTTGGGTGCAGACAAACTGATGAGGGGACACCTCAAGTCACGTCAGAAAGCAGGGGTTTCCAATGGACACGGAAGTCTTTCACCAGCAGACCCAGTTCACACGCGACAGGAGGGCACAGTTAGGAAAGGAAAAGGCCTTTAAATGTGCTTGAAAGGCGTGCAGCCCCGCGCACAGGCCCACCGCTCACCTTCAGCAAAGGTGACACCACGCTGCTTCCCAACCACGACCTAAAGCCACCATCACAAGCAGCCCCTGACCTTGGCAATCCCTCTGGCGAGTACCACGAGCCCAATTTGTCCAGCTGAGCTTGCCTCACCGTAAGCCACCAGAAACACTGCTAACATTTAAAATAATCTTTCTGCCCTGTTGGTTTGTACCTCCCGCACTACCCCAGGGAGACCTTTCCAGGTGGGAGAGAATGCGGCAGCAGTACTGCAGCGCAGACGCTGGCACCAGACGAAGCCTCCCCAAGGAACTTCCTTGCCTTTGGGACACAGGTTTCGGAGCAGCGCAATACTCACGGCAAGTTTCAGTGGGCTCTGGAGCGGCGCTGACGAACCCCAGTCCCTACACAGAAACTTCCCCGGGCATGGAAGGAACCCGACATTCATCTCCAGCACTGCCTCACACTACCACAATAAACAGAGGTTAAAAAAAAACAACAAAAAACCCCAAAAAACCAAACCAAACAACACCATCAGCTCATCTTGAATGATCTCAGCTGATCTTACCCTGTAATTAGAAGAGCGATAACAAGAAATAAAACCAAGGCTATCTTTCCTAGCAAGGCTTTTCTTGCTTAGAAGTACCATGGGGGCTGCTACCACTGCATGGCACTGGGCGGAACAGGGCACAGCCTGGGACTGGTGGCCATGAGCAGCATCTCCTACAGGAGCCCAGAGGGAAGCGCTCTGCCCGGGCACAAAGTTTTCAGTACTGACAGAACAATCTGGGAGCATCACCACGCTGGTGGCATGACCTCTATGGCACAGGCAGCGGCGCAGAAGCTTTGAAAGGAAAGTCTTCGGCATCCAGGCTCAGAGAGCGTCAGTTCTGCCCCATCCAGAGCTACCCAGGAGCACCCCGGGAGAGGTAGTCGAGACACGACAAAGGCTCGGCCAGAAGCAGCATGCAGCAACGCTGCCCCTGCTTTACCACAAAGCCCAAAAGTCAACTCCCCGACAAAAGAAAAAAAAACAAAAAAACCCAACCAACCAGTTACAGATACAACATGGAATCCAGTACATTCATCCCCGATCTCTCCTGAGCACTGGTATCTCACCAGCCAGGCAGCCTGCTCTAACAGCCTGCTGTCTCACAGCATAGCTTCAGCTGAGTTGCATTATTCGTTTCCCCATCACAAAAAGCACCTAAAAAGGAGGGCGTGTCCTCCCCCCTGCTCTGCTCAGTTCCCTTCTCTCCTTAAAAGGCCACCCTCGACCTCGTGTGCTTTGAGGATTCCCTGTCTCCCTCCCAGCCTTCTCGGAGGTTGTCCAGTTAATAGGACGTGACAAATTAACAAGGCACAGTGCTCTACATTCACAGCAGCGGGCGCCTCGGTGCTCGCCAGCATTAAGGAGTCCTTCCACATTCCAGATTTTAACAAAGCTGAAACTGGCAAATGCTTTCTGGAGAGTAGCACGTATGCCTCCACTGCTCTCCCACCCGCCCAGGGACAACCTGTCCTGGGAAGCACCAGGAAACTCAGAAAAAAACGTGCGAAGGGACACCTTCCGCGACGGCTGTGCACAGACGGGTAACTGCAAGCTGCCATCCTGCCAGGGAGGTTCTGAGCTACGCTCAGGCGATACACTGGTGGATTAAAAAACTTCACGTGGCCTTTACATCTCCCCTCTGGTCTCCGCCCTGGCTCTATGGAAGGGACCAACAGCATTTAGGGTTCTGGCAGAAGCGTGCGAAGCACTGTGTTATTTTGGGGGCTGCACACTAGTAAGTATTGATCCCCAAGACAGCCCACCTCTCTCTCCATGCCATAATCCTCCCTGGGATGCTGCCGTGACACGCTTTAAAAATTAATAGTGCCCTTTCTAACATTTACAACCAGAGCGCCCGGTGTTTTACGTGATGGAACATCTACGTTCTCAGCTACAGGGAACCACACAGAAATCTCATCCCTCAGATGCTGATTTCTGTGGAGCAGAGATGCTTGCAAATGCATCAGCTTCTTCACCCCTTCCCGACGTATGAGAGCTACTGCAGACAGCGTCAAATGTCAAGCACGGATGAGCTTTGTCAGACTCTGAGCACGCAGGCAGGCAGCCCGCGCCAGGCTAGATTTTATACAAAAAGCTGGGAACATAGTCAAATCTGAGCAGCGGGTTGACTCCCTGGCCGGGTTCCTGAATGTACTGCAGCTTCAGCAGCTCAGCTAAATACTGTACAATTTTGATATCTTCATTGGCAAGGCCCAGTTGAAGCTTCAGAAAGTTCATCCTGCGATTCACAACAGATTCCTCTGGTTCCCTTTCACTGATGGGAAGGTGCAAATGATGGCAGAAGGTGAAGAGGAAGGCTTTTGAACACAGCTGGGTGAGGATACTTTGGACGTGCATATAGTAGGTGCTTCCTCGTTTGATCTGCGTGCGGTGGTCTGCCAGCCGTGACACCAAGGTGCCTTTGTAAAGCGGGCAGCGGAGAGTCTTACTGTCAGCGTCCAGAATGCTGACGTACCGGCTGTATCGGCTCAGGGCGTGCAGCACGTTCACCCCAGCAGGTGACACCGTCCTGAAACAGCAAGGAGAGAGGTCACAGCTGGAGCAAACCAGACAGTTAAGCAGCAGACTGTGTCCATGCCCCTGTATCACACGTACTTTCCCTCTAGCTCATGAGTAAGAGCCTCTGCGGGCAAATAAAGCCTAGCACGGAAGAGAATGGCCAGTCTCTCCAGTCTGCCAGATCCTAAAGAAATCTCGATCCTGTGGATCCCCACGTGCACTGATCCGCACCGCGTGCACGCTACTTCACAAACTACCACGCTTCAGGGCAGCTTCCTCCCTCGGCATCATGGAGGGAGCGATGGGACATCTCTGGTGAACAGAAGCAGACCTTGTGGCAGGTGGTAGCTTCTGGATGTGACAAGAAGGACCCAGAAACCCAAACCAGCCCCCCCCTTGCCAAGAGCTCCGCTTTCGCCCCGTATTGCTGGTTTGGGAGGGAGCTGCTCTGAGGTGGTCAAAGCCCTGGTCGGAGCAATGTCTTCTCCCCTTCCTTTAAAAAGGGAACCCTCCTTAAACCAGAATATTTCCTGGCTGAGCCCGGGCATTTTTCACTCAGGTGCAAACCCACAGCACATTCAGAACATACAATTATCCAGCAAGCCAAAATGAATGTTATTTAAATGCAAATTACAAGCCTACGCAAACTCTACCTTCTGCTCCTCAATCCTGCGTGGTTAAAGCTGCTCATTTGAGACACAGCTCCCAGCCTCAAACTAGGAGCCCCGGCTGCTGGTGTAAGGGCTGCCCCTGCACCTGGGCAGCATCTGGCCTTCGGAGACACAGCACCCTTACCGGAATAATTAATTTAGCCTCTAAGTTCCTTCCCAAAGCCCTTGTACAAATGGTTTGCTGAGATCACCCACGTTAAATTCAACACTTAATTAACATTCCACGGAGGAGAGTTTAAATGTCTGACACATGTTACAAGCAGTTCTCAAAAAAAAAAAAAAACAACCAACCAAACTTTTGTTTATAAAAATTGCATCTAACCACAAACACTGATCAATGAGTCAACACTCGGGGCTTTTTAAAACCTCACCGACAGACAGAGAAGTTTGGGAGCAGCTGCTGGCAGAGCTGTCATCCTGCCGCACGAGCACAGAAATGAGGGTGAACTCTCAGCTTAGGGTAATTTCGTCATCCGCAACCCCCAGTGACACAATACTCAGCAGCCCAGAAAGCAGATTTCTGTATTTTGATTTTCAGGCTTCTCAGAAACACT